GTGCCTCCGTGCTCTTTCACACGAATTCAGAGGCAAGATTTTTAGTTTCTTCTTCTTTGAACGCATCAAACTGGGATTCTTAACTAGCTCGAGATGTTCCTGAATCGGGAACAGGTCCGGTTCCCTTCTCCCTCTGAATCGTTGCGGTCGATCCTTGAATATCCGCCTCCAACTTTTCTGCGCTCTTCTTTTACCTTCTCGTTCGCCCCCACCGCTTCACCATGGAAAGGACTCATTGTATCCATTGACAAGATGCGTGTACGCCTTGTCAACGCTGATTATGAACGCACCCGTAAGCTTCGTTGACTGCGTGCTGACACGATGCAGGAGACGCCGCCGTCGTCTAGGGTCGTTCAACCCTAAGCGGGTTACAGAGCTTCCTCTTCTTTTCTCAGTCGTTTCCTTCGATAAGCTTATGCGGGTACTTCGCTGGTAAACGAATAAAACAGCATGTCTTCCTGAAAATATAAGATATTAACGATCTCTCCTTCACCCTAAAATAATAATCAAACGTTTCGTACTCAATCGCTACCAGACTACAATTTAAATTTTTCATCAAAAATGTATTTAGCCAGAGGCAAACTGTGTCGTTGAAATAATCTAAGCATAATTGCATTGTCGGGTAACGAATCAACCAAGATCGTAGCAGCGATATCTGACTAAGGAGAGGGTGATCGGTCGCGTTCCAGTTCGTGTCGATAAATCGTTGAAATTTCGAGGCGCAACACGTAACAGCCACGGTGCCCCGGCAACAGCCGCAAGAAGTGTGTACATAATACAGGTTCGCACATGTACGCACACGGTGGTGCACCCACGATCGCCCTGGGGTATCCAGATATTGTTATCAAACGGACGCTGTACTTGTATCAGATTAAGATAGCCGATCCAGAGCGGGGTGGAGGCGCGGCGGCCGAAGTACTGTCGCAACGACGGTGAAAGTGTATATCTCGGGGCCACCGAAAGCCCAATTGAAATTAATTTAATTAAGCAAGCCCCGTGGATACAGCCGCGTAGCGTCGAACCTGTATCGCACCGGACGTCTTGCCGGTCTGTACTAGAAGCCGATTTAATCATAATCAAAAGCGTTGCACACTGTCGGTGGTCGCCAATGAAAAATCGGTAACTCTACGTATCGATGAATCACGTGAACTATTAATTTCTCAGAGTAGAAGTTCCAATGTCTCATAGGAATTTCGTATGATAAAAAATTTAATCTTGTTTTCTAACCCATTACTGAAGAGAAAGGAAATATGGGCGAGAGTATGTACTCCTTGTTTACTATAAATTGTAAAAACGTTTATACGTATTGTCTTCCAATTTCAAAATTCCAATTTTGGTCAAGATCGAATTGCAGATTTCAAAACGATACAGATGTGCGTTCTATAGCAGGAGGTCTGCAGGAGGATCAGATAAACTGTCGAAACGCGTGAGGTCCAGTCAGAATAAGAACGCGGAGCAGTTCGTCGATGAGCGAGGACAATAATGATGATCGTGTCGCGCAAACGAAGGGAAACAAGGGCGCGGACGAAAAAATATAAAAGTCAAGCAGTTTGTGATGCATCGTTCATGGCCAGTGTCTCACCCTAATGGCCGATCAGATAAGGGCTCCTTGTCCGGTGGTCCTGAAGAGATCATATCGCGTTCTCACACCCTGGGGACGAGTTCTGTGATGTCATTATAGCATGGGACGATTCGGTAAACGTGCGACCCGAATGAGTGCTCCATGCTAAAATGTTTGGATCGGCAATCGAGTATACGTCTTAATTGATGAGTGATTTGAAATGATAGCCTTTGGAAGCGTGGTAACTTTTCATTTTGATCATTTGTATACCTTGTGTATAATTCTGGATGTCAATAAAAAGAACTATATAATCCTGAGCTCAATCTTAGAGAAAGAATTTTAGCATGAAAGAGTTTGTGTTCAGATATGTGTGCAGGTAGGGAAAACAAAAAATTTAGGGATGGAACACAATTTGTTAAAGATTAATGATCCCGAGTTCGAGATAAGTAGATTCCAGATGACCGTTTGTAGAGCAGTTTCAACTGTAGACCAGAAATTGACAGAATTTCGGTCATCTGGACCATTCCGTCACCTGCCCGCCCCTAAAACGAACCCCCAACGGGCACGCGACCTCACGGTAAAAGAAAATCGCTTGGCAAACTGACCATATGCTGTGTTCTTGGAAACGTGACCCGTGCCGCTGTTATCTCTACAGATTGACGAACCTCAAGTTTTCCACTGACATATCGGGTATTATCTTTTTTTAATCATTTTTGTTAGTTAACAGCAAATTCAAACAGGATAGCAA